TGCTGTAGGATCTTGTTCATCTGTTCTGTCTGACCGTTAGTCTCTGGGTGACGGTCGGACGACATTAACAACTTAGATCCGTAGACTCTCATGAGTTTTTGCCAGTTCTGGCTGGTGAAACGACTATCTCTATCACTAACTATTGACAATGGGATTCCATTCTCACTAACCCAAAAGTCAAAGAACTTCTGTATTACTAAATCGGTACGTGCCTCTGCAGGCAAAGGAACAAAAACTGCATACTTACTAAAACGGTCGACTATGACCATGACTTGGCTCTTACTATCTTGACTTGCGTGTCCATGAAGTCTATAGACACTGAGTCTCCCGGCTGATCCGAATAGGCAAGGGTCTGAGAAGACCTAGGGGCGCGCGTGTAGTAGACTTATTCCTCTGGCACACTTTACGACTGCGGACATACTCTATGCAGTCATTCTTCATCCCTGGCCAGGTATACGCACGCATTAAGTTGGCTAATGTCTTTTGCCAACCGAAATGCCCTTCAGTATCGTGGCATTCCCCGAGAATCAGACTACGAATCTCTTCGTTGTTGGGAATGCACAGGCGATCAAACACATTAGTCTTCTCAAACAGCAACCCGTCTGTAGTGCGGTAATCTGGTTCGGTCTCTGGGGCCTCTCTAACTCTCTTTAGGAGGTCACTATAGATAGGGTCCTGCGTATACGCTTGTCTCACTTTCTCCTGCAGGCCTCTCCCTATATCCAGATAGTGTACTACGGCTCCAAAGTAGTCTGATCTCCTATTCAGAGCATCCGCAACTACGTTGTACTTGCCCTTCACTGGTTTGAGCTCAAAGTCGAATTGGTCTATCTCTGCGGCCCACCTAGTCAACTTAGGTGTCATCTTGGCCTGTGTCTTCAACCAGCAGAGTGTCTCGTGGTCGGAATACACTTTGAAGTGCCTCCAAGCAGATAGTGCTTCCAATGGTCTAAAGCCTGCCTGAGAGCGTAGAGCTCTCTCTCGTACGTGGAGGTAGCGACCTTCTCACAGGGCATCCTCGYTGACATGAACTCTACGGGTCTATAGCCATTGTCGTCGTCTTGCTACAACACGGCGCCTATCCCATACTGACTTGCGTCCGTGGTAACGACAAATGGCAAGGACGGATCTGCTACATTGAGGACAAAATATTCTATTAACGCGCGCTTTAACTTCTTGAGCGCAGACGTACAATCTTTGTCCCATTGCCAGATTGCCTCTTTCTTCAGCAACCTGCGCAAGGGAGCGGCGATAGTAGAGAAGTTCCTTACGAACTTCCTATAGTAGTTAGCTAAGCCTAGGAACGACCGCAACTCTGTCAATGTGCGGGGCGTCGGCCAATCTCTAATCACCGCTATCTTGCTGTCCTCGGGCTTAATGCCATCTCCGTCTAATACGTGGCCCAAGTAGAGGACTTCCGTCTTGGCCCACTCACACTTCTTCGCATTGATCTTGAAGTTAGCCTCTCTAAGYTTCCCCAAGACCTGCCTCAGATGACCCTGGTGCTCTTGAAGAGTCTTACTAAAGACTAGGATATCATCTAAGTAGACTACTACAAATTTATCTAACCACGGTCTAAACAGGTTATTCATACAATGCTAAAAGTAGCTGGCGCGTTGGTTAGTCCAAAGGGCATCACTATAAACTCATAATGCCCATATCTAGTCCGGAACGCATTCTTGTACTTATCATCACGATGAACCTCTATGTGATGGTATCCGGACTTTAATTCTATCTTAGAGAAATACTTACAACCCTGTACCCGATCTAAAAGATCGTCTATCCTGGGCAGCGGCTCAGCGTTCTTTACTGTGATCGCGTTCAAACCCCTATAGTCTATACACATACGAAGTTCTCCTTCCTTCTTGGGGACAAACAAAACGGGTGCTTCGAAAGGAGATGAACTGGGCCTGATCCAACCTTTCTCAAGGAG